CCAATCATTTACTCAGAATTCTACATAGTGGATCAGAGAATTACTCAATTCTTTCAATCAGTTATAATTCAATAATTTTGCAAATGGCATCCAACAGGAGATGCTATACTTTGGTCATTTTATTTTATTGTAGGTTACAACAAACTAATTCCAGATCGTTGATTACCTTCTTTAAGCCAAGCTAAAATGAATATTAATCAGAAAAATTAGAAAAAAACAAGATAAAAACTTGACAAAGGGTGTGAAGTCTTCCCAAACTTCCTTCTATCCTCATTTCTTTTCTATACCATGGAAGTTGATTTTCCCAAATGAAAATAAAGAGATGATGGGAATAAGCTGTATGAAAAAGATTATTGACTTAATTAAGCAAAGGTAAATTTCTACTTGATAAAGAAAAACAAAGTTATATTTTGTGATTGTTGTGATACTGGTCACCCCATGTATATTATAGACTAAATTAACTTTCCTTACAAGTCTTAAGAATAATGATCACAACTCCTCAAACAGAGACAGTATCTGGTATATACAGAGGAGTCAGTAAATAGTATCTAATAAGAGTTCTATAATACATGGGAAATAAGACACACAAAGAATACTTGCTTGCAAAGCAAGTGTGTGTGTTTGTCTGTGTCTCCGCACGCACGTGCTCCTGAGAGAGAGAAAGAGCACTGAAATCCATGAGAAAGAATTACACAAATTTAAAAGCTGGACAGATTTAGTTTGGTATTAGTGGTCTGGAAACTACAAAGAAGGAGCTAATTTACTTGAGGTCTGAAAGAGAGATAAAATTTAAAAATTATTCTAAATGAAAGAAAGGGTAGATGAGGCAATGAGATGAGGTGAAAAAAATGATGGATATGGTGTAATTGGAAACACAAACAGGCACCATGAAAAGGTAGAAGGAGATGTTTACAGGGAAGCAGAGAAGGACCAGCCCGGTGTCTGAAGAATTCTCTGTGTACTAAGTTTCAGGTTTTGAGTAAAACATTCATATGATGAAATTAATTTCAGGAGTATTAATTTAAATACAAATAGGCTAAATAGAGGATAACAGAGATAGGCTAAGATGGCAGTAAAAATTTCACCAAAAAAGAACAAAACCCAACTCGAATAATGGTAGTGATAGCAAAGGGAAAAATGGATAGAAGGATAAAAAGGCATAATTAAGGGAAGAAAGCATTATAAAGGGTTTTCCTACTTTCCACTTGATACTGAAAATTAATCTGAGCACTCTCTTCTTGAAATTAGTTACCGGATTACCATGCTTTAGAACAAAATCTTAACTGCTTCCTTGCTAAATGAATGGGATTCAGCATGTGAATCTAAGTTTGGTTGCTACAGCTTGAGTCTAATATTCCTTCAGTGAAAGCCAGGAGTTTTCATTCTTTATGCCTAAATGGCTCCCTCTTCCCCAGTCCCTCTGGAATTTCTACCCATTCTTCAAAATTAATAGCAAATGCCAACTGCTAGGTAAAGTCAATGAATCTTGTTTGCCCTTCTTGGTACATGACTTACAGAATTTAATAGACACAGGCATGGATTATGTCTCTGTCTTATTGATACCGGAATTTCGACTTCAGTAGGTCTTTGGTCTCCGTGACTGGAAGAATGAATCCACGGACCACAGATCAGTGGTCAGACAGGATTTATTTTACAGAAAAAAATACAGAGGGGGAAAAAAACCACCAAATCTGGGAAGAAAGCGTTCACTCCCTTCCTCGTGCTGGCACTCTCTTTCTCTGCCTGGGTTCTCTACCTAGGAGCATGTAGAGTCGCATGGGTCCTTTGTAGTTACATCAGGCCAGGACTTGGTACCAAATGAGTGGATACAGTCCCTTCCATTGGGGTAAGATGAATGAGGGCATTAAGGAACGGATACAGTCCATTCCTAAAATTGGCCAGGCATAGGAAACGTACATGAAATTGACCAGGCCTAGGACACTTACGTGAAATTGACCTAGGCATAGGAAATGAGGGGGCTTCCCTGTTCAGCCGGCAAGAGCTAGAAGACACTAAAGCACTGGTGTCTCCTCAGCGGTTGTCTGGCCCCTGCGGCTGCTGGAGCCTCCTGCTGCCCGCCCCACCTACCCTTCAACCCGCTGGTTCTTCTGCCGACTGCCTCTGCACCTACACTGCCAGGGCGGAGGCGGCAGGCCCTCCTCTCAGCTCCACCTAGCTGGCTGAGGAGCCACCTGCCCTGTGTCATCATCACACCTACAAGATGGAATGTCTCTGCAGGTAAAAATCAGTTTTATGTTGATACTATTGCCAGAGTCTATCATAATGTTTGACATATACTCAGTGGTTAATAAATATTTGTTGAATAAATGAATTAATGAAAGGCATGCCATTTATTGATATGTTTTATTGTTGTGACGCTCTGAGAATTCTTTGTATCCAAGACAGAGAAATTCAGATCCTCCCTCAGGAGGAGAGGTAAAGATCTCTGGTTCATTTAAGAAAAAGCAACAGTGAGTAAGTTTGGGGGAGCACAGAGGACCCTCAGTTCCTCAGATTATCCCTGGACTTTGTATGGGAAGAGAAGCCTGAAACTTGTAATTTAGAGGATGCTACTAAGAGGTACCTGGTGTTATGCCTACGTGAGTCCTTCCAAGTGACACAGCTACTGGGAAATAACATCAGTTCAACCTGTGTCATGTTCAAGTACAACTTACATTCAAAGCACTGTTTTCTGAATGTCCAAGGATAGTATTTCAGTGTTAGCTATGTGTACACATGCACACACCAGTGAGAAATTTATGGTTATTCTCTAAAGAAAATTAAATACAAAGTTATACTTTCTGGAATGGGCTAAAGATACCAAAGCAAAACAAAAAAAGTTATTATTCTTATATAATACTTTGCAGTTCACACTAACTTTTAATTGTGTCACAATGTATCTCTAAGATGGCCTTGAGCAGTAGGTGTTGTTAATACCCCCATGGTTTCATAAACAATACTGATAGTGACTAAAGATCAGAGCAAATGTGCAAATTGCTGACGTTCATAAAGTTATTAAATCACGGTATAGATACATTCTATATAATGCCACATTGGATAAAGTGAGGAAAAAATGTTTTGGAGTCAAAGAATCTTTGTTCAAACATTTTTTTCTTCATATCTATTACCGTAACTTTCTAAAGCTAAAGTTTTCTCATGTAAGTACTTGAAATAGTAAATTTTGCTGTATATAATTGTAAAGATTAAGTGACATCACATACATGGGTCTCCACACCACAAAGTAGGCACTACATGGAAGCCAGTTTCCTCTTATTCTATGTCTCT